AAAAAAAAAAAAAAAAAAAAAAAAGAAGAAGCAACTGTCATTTGAATGGAAATAAAATATTTGTAAATAGGGAAGGGAGGAGGGGGTGAAGGGAGGGCAGGGACAAGTAGAAAAAATGAGAACCAAGACCTGGCATGTAAAGGTACAAGATCCCAATGATGAATGTAACTGTACTATATACCTAAAATGTACCGATAAACTCAATGAGGGGAAAAAAAAAGGACTCTGTAACTCTGCCTGTCCTCGAGGGGGCTGCAGAGTCTGTATCAAGGTGATCATAGCCCAGATGCCCCAGGAGAGGCCCGGGATGGATGACCCTGTGCTGCAGGATGGTGTAGCTTAGAGGCACTCACTCACCGTTTGTTATGTATTTACTTATATTATGGATAGGATAATGGCTGCTTCTGAGGACAGAGCAGATGGAATTGGAGAATGGCTTACAGCTGGCTTTAAGGAGGATGATAGTTTATTTCAAAAAAGAGAAACTAAAGGAATATGGCTATTCTTTGTCACATTATGTTTGAATTTTTTGTTTTTTGTTTTTGTGTTTTTTTTTTTTTTTTTTTTTTTTTTTTGGTACTGGGGATTGAACTTTGGTCCTTGCGCTTGCGAGGCAGAGCACTGAACCGCTGAGCTAAATCTCTGGCCCTTGTTTGGTTTTTTGAAAGAGGTTCTTGCTATGTAGTCCAGGCTAGTCTTGAACTCACTGTGGAGCTTTGAACTTGCAGCCATCCTCCTGCCTCAGCCTCCTAGGCAGGTGCTAGGATTACAGGCATATGTCACCATGCCCACCCTATGTTTGAAATATTTTATCAAAAAGGCCTAAAGTTTCCCTCGCACACCTTGGCTCTGTTGTAGAACAGCATGCCCCCAAGGCTCTCCTGGCGGCCCCTGGGAGAGCTGTCCCTACCCTGCCAATAGCTGACAGAGGCACCAGTGCTCATCTGGGACTGAGGTCATCTCACGGGCAGAGTTCCACAGCAGGTGTCTATCTGCACTTATCTGCACACTGATGGACTTGATTGCTTCCTAGGGTACGGTCACCAGCACTGCCACCTGTGTCCAGCTTCACAAAAGGGCTGAGCGGGTGGCTGCCGCCCTGATGGAGAAGGGCAGACTGGATGCTGGGGACCACGTAGCTTTGGTCTATCCCCCAGGTAAGATGTACCCAAGACATCCCCTTCCAACCTTCCAGAACAGAGAGCAGACCCTCCCCTGACTTGGCCACCCTGGATGCCTCTGGTGGCTGCCTGTGCATCCTCTGGACGGGACCTGTGTCCCTGATGGCATCTTTGCTGTCATGGGGAGGATGCTCAGGCTCATCTTGTGCCTCTGACCCCAGAACTGGAAGCGACTATCTCTCCAGGGACCCTGGCTCTGATTCTCCTGCACAGACTGGGCAGTGGGGAGCCCAACCCATGATTATGTCTTCTAGAGATAGGGTGGGTACTGAACGCATGCTCTCGCCTCTAGCACACATTCAGAGCTTCTGGAGTTTGCTCAGCTTCTGCGTCACCTCCTCTTTTCCACCTGAAGACTCCCAACTCTTCAGCACAGAGATGACAGAATTGGAATGCCCGTGGTCACTCATTTGCTTTATCCCACATCACACACAGCCTTCTCACAGTAACAGTGGCAATGCTATGAACCCCTGCATGGTTCTGAAGAACAAGTTGAAAATGTCATCGTGTGCTCACGCACCCCTTCTGTCTGTGTCTGACTTGCCATGGCGGCTCCATCACCCTCCACCCTCACCGGGCGGTTTCACAGGCAGCTGTGTCCCATCTTCCCTCAGCTGTCTCCCTGTGCTCTGGCCGTGCTGTCCTCTGAGGCCCATTCTCAGGTGATTCCTCGATAAGGTATGGGGCCTTGAACATGGCTCTTCAAGGCTTGCCCGCTTCCAGAAAGCTGCTTGACCCATAGTTCCCTCTCTGAGCGAGATCTTTGTTACCTGTCTTCAGAAGTTGTCATTTGCTCTTCCACATTTCTTTCTCGCTAAACTTCATTTGAATTTTACAGTCTCCTTTGCTTCATCTTTTTAATCTTAAATATTTTATCTGTTGTCTGGTGCTTGTCAAGCTTAATCTTTATTTTGAAATGATTTTATAAAATTGTCTGTTTTTTTTCCTCATCTCTGACTTTTCCTGATTATCATTCCTGCATTCTGTTATGGTGTGGATCATTTTCCTCATGTATTTTAACACATTTTGAAATGGACTGTCAGGTTCTGTGTTTTGCGGGCTTCTTGGGCGTGCTCTTCTTAGGTGAGCAGTGATCCTCTCTGCTCTGCACTCTTTCTCATGACTGTTTCTCCTGCTGCTTCATGTCTCCTGTCTCAGCTCTGCTTGTCTGTCATCCCCTCCAGAGCTGTCTCCCCCTGGAGAGGGGCTGCTGCTTCTTACAGGTTCTCATTGTCCTCAGTAGTGGGAGGGCAATTTCCGAAGCAGGGCCTCCCCTCCTGGCCCTGAGCAGACCCTGCAGCACATGGGACATGGTGCCTGTGTCCACTAGATGCTCTTCTCCCTCCCTCTTCCTCCTGTGCCTCCCCGCAGCCCTCACTCCTTCCCCACCTGCTAGGCACCCTGGTCCTCTGACTCAAAGATAAACACAGCCAGACATCAGCGGAAGTGGTGAAAATAGATTTTATTCAGAACTACTGACAGTGGGAGACAGAGCTGAGCTCTATTCCAGCTTTCGGGGTGTTTGAAGGAAAGGGTGAAGAAGAAAGGCCAGGACTTCATATCAGAAGTGAGCAGGGACAAAGCTTGAGGCCTGCTTGTCCATCAGGATGCTGATGGAAAGGGCCAGCACCTCATCCCTCCTAGGAATTCCATTTCCAAGGAAGGGCTCTAGGCTCCAGACAGACCTGCTGAGCTGCCAGAGCCACACACTGACAATGGTAAGCCTTTTTAGTATGTTCCCAGGGAGTGGAGGTCAGGCCCTGTACTGGGACCACCTCTCTGGGCTGTGTGGGCCTCCTCGACAGGTATTTTAGTGGTGGCCCAGTCATCGTGGAAACAGGCTGGGCTCTGCACCGGAGTCTTGTCCTTTTGGTTGCCAGGCCTGGACACAGAGCAGGTAGTGCCCTGTGAGTCTCGGTTCTGTGTGCTGGCTGCTCAGCTCCTGTCCAGTAGCTCTCTCCCTGATGTGGCACCTTGATGCATTTCTCTCTGTCATTGCCGTGTCACACTGCGGCTGGTGGTTGTGTCTCGGTGTAATGCAGTCTCACTTGTCCCCTGTGTGCACGTGCTGTGTTGTTGGAAGAGTATCAGTTTGTCTTTTTCCTTAGGTGTCAGCCTGCCCCTCGATGTGCCTGGGTGCGGTCTTTTCTCATTTCCTCGCCCCTGAACCATTCACACGCACCTCCACTGGCTGGTGCTCTGCTCTAGCACTGCCCTTGCCCTCTGTCTCTGCAGCTCTGAGCTCCCTTCTGGATCTGTCTGAATTTCTGCTCTTTTCTGTCCTGGCTTCCTTTGTGTGTGTGATTGCTCACTGCTGATGGCCTTGCTTCATGTTTTGGAGTTCAGCAGGGACCACCCCTTATTCTACATCCTTCCCTCTGGGCTGTCAGTCACAGATGTGCCCCATTCAGTCTCAGAGCTCTCTCAGAGCTTGGTGTTTTTCTTGACACCAGCCACTTCCTTATTTGGACACTCCATAGTTCCCATCAGCATTATAGTTCTCCTGCTCTTTCCCGTCCGTGGGGTTTCTTTCCCCGGGGAGTGACTACAGAACATTCTGTGCACATGCAGCCCAGATGCCAAGGATGCATCAGGGGCTTTGTACAGCTTTTCACTATAGGGAAACCTTGAGAGGGAGCAGTCTCCAAGAAGTGCTAGTGTGGCCAAACTGGAGCTCCCTAGTCCTATATTCATAGCAGCAGAGTAGAGCCAGCCACGCCTGATCCTGCAAGGATGGGAGTGTTTCCCACCCAGGGCTGGTACTGCAGTGTCTGGAACATGCTGTCAGGGAGGGGCTGGGCTATGCAGCACAGGATATGAGGGTGTTGCCTTAAATACTTCAACACAGGAAGAGCAGCAGAAGAAAGGGCTCCCTGACTATGAGGGGGGCATGCCCAGTAAACTCAGAAGAAGCTGAAAATTTCTGTCTTAGTACTCACTGCTGAGACAAAATACCAGACACCCAAAGTTAAAGGAGGAAAGGTTTATTCTTTCTTTCTTTGTTTTTTTTAAATTGAATTTATTGGTACATTCTAGGTAGACAGTAGAGTTACATTCATTACTGGGATCTTGTACCTTTACATGCCAGGTCTTGGTTCCCATTTTTTCCCCTTGTCCCCACCCTCCCTTCACCCCCTCCTCGCCTCCCCACCTTCAAGCACTTTAATTCCATTTTTACATTTTCTCGTATTTTTTTCCTTTTCCCTTATTCCCCTTTCCCTATCCTTCTCCCTGTCCCTACACCTTTGGTCCTTTTCTTCCTATTTCACATTATTAATTGTCCCGTTAGGATCTTGAGTACTATTTTAGTTTTTCACACCAGAGAAACTGTTCAGTATTTGCATATGTGTGACTTATTTATTTCACTTAGGAGTATATCCTCAATCGCTTCTCGGCCTTTTGGCTAAGATCAAGTGTAGGAGTATATCCTCAAAATGTACCCATTTACTTATGAATGAATCTACTTTCTCATTCTTTATGGCTGAGTAGTATTCCATTTTATAGAAAAACCACATCTTTATCCAGTTTCCAACGGATGGGCAAATGGGCTGTTTCCAAGTTTTAGCTATTACAAACTGTGCTGCTATAAACATGGGTGCACATATATCACTGTGGTATGATTCTTTTAATGCTTTTGGAAAGATACCCAACAGAGGGATGGATGGGTTAAATGGAACCTCTAATCCTAGTTCTTTGAAGTATCTCCATATTGATTTCCATAGTGGTTGCACCAGTCTGCACTCCCACCAACAGTGTAGAAGGGTTCCTTACTCCCCACAACCGCACCAACATTTGTTGTTGTGTGATTTCTTGATAGCAGCCATTCTTTGTGAGGTGAAGTGGATTCTTAGTGTTGTTTTCATCTGCATCTCTCGAATGACCAGTGATGTGGAGCATTTTTTCATATATTTACTTGCTGCTTTTATTTCTTTGTCTGAGAAATGTCTGTTCATTTCAGATGCCCATTTTAGAATCTGGTCTTTATATTTGGGGGGCTGGTTATTTTGAGTTCTTTGTATATTTTAGGTAATAGTCCTTTGAGGAGCAGCTGGTAAAAATTTTTTCCCATATTGTAGGTTGTCTCTTAGTTCTGTTGATAGGTTCTTTTGAAGTGCAGAAGCTTTTTAATAAGATGAGATCCCAGTTGTTGATTCTATCTACTAGTTCCCGTGCTACTGAGGATTTGTTCATAAAGTCTTTTCCTATGCCAATGTCTTCCAGAGTTTTGCCTAACTTATCTTCCAGCAAGTTTAATGTTTTTGTTTTTATATTTAGATCTTTAATCCACTTGGATTTTAATTTAGTGCATAGTGACAGATAAAGGTCTAGTTTTAATCTTTGGCAGGTTGAGATCCAGTTTTTCCAACACCATTTATTAAAGAGGCTATCTTTCCTCCAGTGGGGACTGTCAGCTCCTTTGTCAAGATGAGATAGCTGAGTACACCTGGAGTTGTTTTTCTGTCTTCCAATTTGTTCCACTGACCCTCAGGTCTGTTTCTTTGCCAGTACCATGCTGTTTTTATCACAGTGGCTTTGTAGTATAGTTTCAAATTGGGAATTGTTATACCGGCTGCCATGTGTTTGTTGCCTAGGATGGCTTTTGCTATTCTAGGTCTCTTATGGTTCCAAATGAATTTTTGGAATCTTTTTTCTAGTTCTGTGAAACATAGCATTGGAATTTCAATTGGCATTGCATTGAATCTGTATAGCAGTTTTGGTAGTATGGCCATTTTCACTATGTTCATTCTTCCAACCCAGGAGCAGGGGATACCTTTCCATTTTCTTATATCCTCTTCGATCTCTTTTTTCAGAGTGCTATAGTTTTCATTGTAGAGGTCTTTTGCTTCTTTTGTTAGATTCCCAGATACTTCATTTTTGGGGGTGCTATTGTGAAGGGAACTGTTTCCCTAATTTCTTTCTCAGTGAGTCTGTTATTTGTATACAAGAAGGCTATTGATTTTTGGGTGTTGACCTTGTATCCAGCTACTCTGCTAAAAGTGTCAATTAAGTCGAGAAGTCTTTTGGTGGAGTTTTTTGGGTCTTCAATGTAGAGTATCATATCATCAGCAAATAATGACAGTTTAACTTCTTCCTTGAGGAAAGGTTTATTTAGCTCACAGTTTGTAGAAGGTTCAGTTTATAATCAGCTGACTCCAAGGCAGGGTAGAATAGCAGAGGAGAAACAGTTCATGGTGGACAGAAGCTAGCAGACAAACAAGGGGCAACCACAGCTCTTTCTGTCCCTTGTGTCTTATCCAGGCTACTTAGGGCAGGTAGTGCTCTTACCTTTAATCCTAGTGCCCTTGAGCCAAGCGCTGCACCATGGATCAGTCTCAGCGTCACACACTCTAGATCCAGCCACTTTTGGAAACGACGCACCTATGACTGCATGAAGCTTTGGGGGACATCGAGACTCAGCCATAACGTATGGGAGTCGAAATGCGTCACAGAGATCTGGCCTGCCATGTTCCTCTTGTGGCAGCACAGCATGATGTCGCATGGCTGCTTCTCCTCAGCCACCCCCACTGCCACTGCCCTACATCGAGAGGGAGGATCGTACTGAACTAGCCTGGGGAAAGATCAAAATTCAAAGTGTGGTTTCTACCAAACATATCTTGCTTTTGCACCATTGTAAAGTTGAAAAAGCATAAGTTGATGCCCTATGAAGGACCATCTTTATGATCTTGATGACTGAGACTCAACAGTGAATTCAGGAGCCCTGATTCTGTTCTTGGGTAGGTTTGATGCTGTTCATACAAAAAAATATTTTTCAGTCCTGAGGGACTGAAACATGCCCTGAACATGCTAGGCAAACACTGCCACTGAGCTACATCCCTAGTCCCAAATCTTGAATCAAAAAATGAGGTCGTTGGGGGCAGATATGCACAGCAGGTGTGATATGCGCTTCTTAGTGCGGACAAGGGTGTCCAAGACTTTTGTCTGGTCCTCAGAGGGGTGAGTGGTGTAGGGTTCAGAAGTAGCTGGAGAAGCAGAGCATAGGAACTGAGTTCTTGCCACGTTTGCTGGGGTGCCAGGGTAAGAGGACAGGTGGATGGCCTGAGCTTCTTGGGCTCCAGGAAGGGGTTCCTGGCACAGTGCGCCATGCCTGAGCCACCAGGCGGAGTGCTGAGCTGCCCTGCCAGAGCTGCCCTGCCAGAGGGAGCTGCCTGGACATTGGAGCATTAACTTAGTGAATCCTCCAGGGCCAGAGCAGCAGGTTCAAATGTCTCTCTCCTGGCCCGCTTTTCATGTGAATACTCGAGATAGCCTTGGAGCTGGTGTGTGAGGGTGCTGTGCGGTCATCTGATTCCACTGTGGCTGTAGGGCACTGATAGGAAGGGGCAAGGGAAATGTGTTCCCCTATCAGACTAACCCTAAAAAATGGGGTTTAAACATGAAACGACTCTCTCCTAAGTTTTAGTTGTGGGGAATCTTGAACTACAGAAAAGCCAGAAGAGTATGGGTGGTCACCTCTGGCCTTGTATGGGGAGGGAGTGGGAGTTCTGGGGCCAGTGTCAGCTCTTACTGTCCCCAGGCTTCTCCTAGCCTGTTGGGATGTCTGGAGGTGGTGGCCCTGAGAAGTTCTGTTGCGAACAGCTTGCCTCACAGGTTCTCTAAGTCCGTGCAAATCCACCTAGCCCCTTGCAGTGCCAAACTTCTCTGGGGGCCTGTGTTCCTGCAGATCCACTCAGCTTCAGACACAGCAGGACAGCACACAGGGCCCCTGTACATCCTCAACACCCCACCCTATGACTCCCCCCACATCAGGCCCTCCAGGGTGTGGAGATGACCAGTGCAGCTGTATCCCAAGAAAATTGTGCTTGACTTTTGCTGATATCTCTGGGCCTCGCCGGGCCTGGATGTGGACACCCACACACTGAGCCCTGTCATGACCATCTGCTGCATCTCTCCAGGAGTGGACCTCATCGCCGCCTTCTATGGCTGCCTGTACTGTGGCTGTGTGCCTGTGACTGTGCGGCCCCCGCATCCCCAGAACCTTGGCACCACACTGCCCACCGTTAAGATGATCGTGGAGGTGCGCGTTCTCTCAGCTGCTGACTGAGGTCTCGTGTGGGAGGCCATGGGCTCTCATGCTTCCCTACTGCTGTGGGGTGGTGCAGGGAAGGGGCAAGGCCAGTGCATCTCTCCCTCCTGTGGATGCAGGTCAGCAAGTCTGCATGCGTGCTCACCACACAGGCCATCACACGGTTGCTCAAATCCAAAGAGGCAGCCGCAGCTGTGGATGTCAGGACGTGGCCGACCATTCTTGACACAGGTATGTGTCCTCAGAGCTGCCCTGTGGGACGTACCCGCTTTCTTTCTTTTTTGTGGAATTTAAATGTTAGGATCAATGTTTCAACTAAAGTGAATGGTGAGAAGGCTGCTTAGTGGAACCTTGGATCTGCCTGCTGGGGTAAACAGAGAAGCATAAGGCACTGGGCACTGCTGTCTCTTGCATGGCAGCATCCCTGTCTCGGGTGAACTCCTCCTCTCTTGGAACCCTAAGGGTGGGGGCCGACACCTTGCCCTTCTCCCTCTGTCCGGCCCACATAGTGGGCTGGGGTTACCTGAAGCTCTCTGCGGATCCCAGTTCCCCTTGCACCCACAGCCTCCCTGTGCCCATCACTGGTAAGTGCTTCATGCCCCTAGAAGCCTGTGGGCCAACTGGAAAGGGGCTGCAACCCCTCTGCCAGGCAGTTGTGTTGGCTTGATGAGTGTCTCAGCCTAGGGCACATCACTGCCCATCCAGGGGGAGGCACCCCCAGCAGCTCCCCCAGTGCTGCACACAACCGGCAGAGCTTGGCCTTCAGGCAGACAGGACTCCATCTCGGCTTCATACTCTCTGTGCTCCAGGTACTGTGTTAGTGGAAGTCAGAGCCTGTGCGGTGTATGCTGCCTGCCTGGTCCTGGGTTGGCCCAGGGAACTGGTGCTGAGTCGGTGGAGGAGCAGGCTCAGCACAGACTGTCTGGCCAGGATACTGCAGCTTCAAGGGTTTGCTGTGGCCCTTGCTGCGGCCCTTGTTGATAGCAGCAGTGCCTGCCCACAGGGTTGGGAAACCTGATGAAACAGCAGAACCTGGACTCCCTGTGCTGCTGCTGCTGTGGGAGTTCTGGGCTCACATGACTCCTCCTCTGACCTTTCTTACTTGGAAACAGTAACTTCATGCAGTTGTTATGGCCTAGGTGCTCCTCTGTGTCCCTCTCTCCCAGTGTTCTTGTCCCCACGTGCTCAGAGCAGTCATGGTGGGACTAGGCCACATGACACTCAGCCTGCCTTCTCACAGCCTGGCCAATCTGAGCTCACTCTCTGGCTCCGTGGCCTTGCCCTGTACATGTCCAGTGTCACTGTGCTAACGTCACTTGTGTCTCCCATTTATCAGATGACATACCAAAAAAGAAAGTGGCCAGCATTTTCAGACCACCCTCTCCAGACATGCTCGCATACCTGGACTTCAGTGTGTCGACCACCGGGATATTAGCAGGAGTGAAGGTGGGTCCACAAGTGCCTGAGACCTCGGCCCTGGAGCGTGGAGGAGTGTCCAGGAGGGGCGTGGGGTACAGGCATATGTGGGTCCTTCCTATCTAGAGCACAGAACAACAGTGTTATTTCTTTTTTTTTGGTACCAGGGATTGAACTCAGGTCTTTGTGCTTGCAAGGCAGGCCACCAAACCGCTGAGCTAAATCCCTAGCCCTTCAGTATTATTTCTTAATGAACCCCCACATCAGATGAGCCTGAGAACAAGGCATGTTTTGATGTTTCGTGGTAGTGTCTGAACCAGTGATGGTGAACATTTTAGAGCTTTCAGTGATTAACAGATTGCAGCCTGCATGCTGTAGGTTTGCTGCCGCTGGTCTAAATTTTCTGCATGGTGACTGTGCGGCCTCCCAGAAACAGATGGCTTTGATGAGTCTGTTTCTCTACTAGGAGCTTATAGCTCAATTCAAATTCCTCGCCATCCCAGAATCTTGTCTTGAGGATTTCCATGTGCTGTGTCCCAGGTGTTATTTAGGTCATTTGGGGATGTGAGGCAGCTGTCTTTGAGCAATCTAAGGTGCGGCTTGGCAGTGTGGAACCGCATCCCTGACTGGCTGGCTGCTGAGCACAGGGACATTGCCACGCGTCCCCTTTCTCCACCAGATGTCACACTCGGCCACAAGTGCCTTGTGCCGCTCCATAAAGCTGCAGTGTGAGCTGTACCCCTCACGGCAGATCGCCATCTGCCTGGACCCCTACTGTGGCCTCGGCTTTGTCCTCTGGTGTCTGTGCAGGTGAGTGCTTCGCAGCTGCTCCTGTGGTTCTGTAGCATGGCTTTCTGTAAGGTGGCTTTTTTGAGCACCCCAGAAGCTGAAGTGATGTGACAGTGGGTTTGCGTGGGGATAAGGTGAGTTGAAGGGTGGGCCTGGAGTCGAGAAGTAGTAAGAACACTTTTTATGAAATACAAACAGTATCTATGCTTAGCATTAGTAAGAATCTACTTGATTCCTTCACATGCTGGAAGATGGTGACACCTCCAATGGTGGGAAGCCTTGTGGGTGTCCCTGGACTTCTGCGGTGCATGGAGGGCAGCAGGACCTGCACGTTACCCCAGCCTCCACCCACAGTGTATGTTCTGCCAAAACCCCACTGGTGTTAGAGCAGACTTGTGCCCTGTCCAGTTAGAAAAGGTGTCCTCGAGGAAGGAAAGAGCAGTGCCCCGTGCTCAGCTCTTTCCCAGCTCCCCTCTGCCCCACAGTGTCTACTCAGGACACCAGTCAGTGCTGGTGCCCCCACTGGAGCTGGAGAGCAACGTGTCCCTGTGGCTATCCGCCGTCAGCCAGTACAAGGCCCGCGTCACCTTCTGCTCTTATTCAGTGATGGAGATGTGCACCAAGGGCCTGGGCTCGCAGACAGGTGCCCTCAGGGTGAGTGCCAGGTAGGGCTCTGGGCCACAGTGACTCTGAGCTGCTGTGTCCAGGCCTCTCCTCCCAAGGCAGCTCCCTGCTTGTCTGCCTCTGCCAAGGTCCCTCCCTCTAGCTGCACATCTAGCAGGAAAGGAGGGTGTGTGCCACACAGGATGGTAGGACATGGACTGGAGGGTGCAGCTCCTGCTCCCATGTTTAGAGTTCCCCAGCCTCGGGCAGGTGGAGGACATAGGCTTGTGCTTAGCTTTGCCTTTGCACTCAGACTTCAGGCCAAGCCCCATGTGGGACCCATCTGGAAACTTCCCAAGATAATCAGTGCTCAGGGCCTCAGCCTGTGTGCTGTGGGCCAACTCCTACCCCTCTGCAGATGAAGGGTGTGAACCTGTCATGTGTGCGCACGTGCATGGTGGTGGCCGAGGAACGGCCCCGGATCACGCTGACACAGTCCTTCTCCAAGCTGTTCAAAGACCTGGGCCTCCCGGCGCGTGCTGTGAGCACCACCTTTGGATGCAGGGTCAATGTGGCCATTTGCCTCCAGGTAAGGTGATGCACCTGGGTTGCCAGCGCCTCCTGCTAGTACAGCCAGGGATCAGCAGTTCCCCACATGAACCTGTGCAGCTTTGTACCTGCCTGATCCATTTCCGCATCTCTGAGCATTTGATGTTTTATTTCCACATAGTTGTTTAGCTTTGAGAGCTATGTTCTGTTGATGAAGAAAGGCTTATTTGCAAAAAAAAAAAAAATAGTGAACAGTGTCTGTTCTACTTTTAAGAATCTTTCAGTTGGTCATAATATACAGTTAATTTTTTGAAGATAAGATTGAACTTACTGTTTTAAGACATCTAACAATTTTTAATCGGTTCACTAGTAAATGTGATCATTTTTATTGGCTCAAACCAATAAAACATGTAGTAATGACACAAAGGAAATAGGAAGTCTCAGGGACTAGCATGCTCGCTGCGGGCCTTCTACCTCAGTTTTCCAGATTCTCTATCCCTGTGTCTATCTCACTTCTTTCTGAAAACTTCCTAAAACCAACCAGCTTATCAGATATCTACATATTGGATGCCTTACTTGACACATCGTGGAGAGCTGTGGAGGAGGAGGTGCCTTTTGCCCCTTTGCAGAGCCATGGCCCTGGCTGGGTTCCCACAGCACCTGCCCAGTGCATACCCATCCTTACTTGGCAGCACACGTGGGGCAAGTCTCCAAGCAGAGGCCATGTTTGCCACAGCAGCATCTTCCTCTTTCTGCTGATGTCCCCTCACCCACTCAAAGACTCTTGACTGCTCTGAGCCTCAGCAGGTTGGGTGGGTCTGTCTGCTGTCTGTCCTGTGGTTGGCACACAGGCTGGTGTCTATGAGTTGAGATCCTGCCCTGCATCTGAAGCTGCTGCCCTTCTTGCTAGATACAGGAGAGCATCTGTTCTGTTTGTTGGCATGTGAGTGCCACGTGTGACCGAACAACTCTTAACGGGATATCAGTGTTTGCTCTTATACAGTGATGTCTTCTGCTCTCTCTCCATTCATTTCTCGTGGGTCCTGTGGCCTTCTGTTTGTGTTTCCTGTGGCTGTCTCCTCCCTGTCTCCCTCTGCTGGCCTCCTTGGCCCCTGTCAGCCCAACAGGCTGGGAAAGCTGGCTGAGCAGGTATGACCTTGACTTCCCTCAACCTTGCTGGTGCTTATCTATGTGCAATCCCCGCACCTCTGTGCAAGAGTTCATGTGGCCTTCTCATGAATTCTAGGCAAATACATGTTTCTTTTATTGTCTTAACTCTGTTCACAGTGGACATCATTTGATGTGTAACAAATCCCCTTTGTGAAGCTGGGCATAGTGGCGCATGCCTGTAATCCCAGCACTTGGGAGGCAGAGGCAGGAGGATCACCATGAGTTCGAGGCCAGCCTGAACTGCATAGTGAAACCCTGTCTCAACAAACAAACAACCCAAAAAACAAGCAGAAAAAACCCTTTGTGACCAAATTTAAAATTAAAACTTTTTTCAAATAAAGCAGTTCATTTTGATCCCCAGCGCACACACACACACACACACACACACACACACACACACACACACACACACACAAAAGACAGCCATTCATAACATTACTTTGGGAGGAAGGGCTTGCTTGGAAGGTTTTGTTTTAATTCGAGGGTGCACATAGGTGATGTTGCTGGGATCTTCAGGGAGTGTTGTTGATCAGAGTGCCCATGTAATTTGATGTTCTTAATTCAGTAAAATGGTACATACTGTCTTTTAATCATGACTAATGTCAAATGGAAGATACAGAAGTCAGGATGAGAGTCAACCTTCTGTCTCTGAGAGTCTTTGCTGAGCTCAGTCCTGAGCAGAATTAGTGACAGGCATGCGCTGCTTGGTAGAAATGTCCCCATACCACAATGATATTTTCATCCCAGTGAGACCAGTAAAAATAGGAAGTCATTAGAACTGAAATGGAAACAGTTTGATTGGTTCTCATTCAGTGTTACCGACTATTACACTCAATACCAAGCCCTGTGGGTGTTCAGAGGGACAGTGTCAGCCCTGCCTGGGGACCCCAAACACCAGGGACCCTGAGCCTTGGGCAGATGACTGCAGGGAGCAGCACTGTCCCCATGGGGAATCCACCCCCGAGCCTGGGAGGAGCTGCCCGCATCTGTGCTGTGAAATCAGGATGGGTATGAGAGCCCTGAGGAAGTTCTTCTGCTATCCTTCCAGGGCACAGCTGGCCCAGACCCCACAACTGTCTACGTGGACATGCGGGCATTACGCCATGACAGGTAGTATCCCTGCCCAGTCTGTATGGCCTCGTCCACACCTAGTAGCAGAGTGTCACAGATCGGATCTGCACCATCAGTGTATAGTACCTCCAGGACCCTAGTGTGAGGGATGGCTGGGGGGTCAGGACTCTTCACAATCCTGAGCATTAGTAGACAGCTGGCTGGATCAGGACTACACAGGACCTTGGGTGTTAGGGGTGTTAGGGGTGGCTGGCCAGGTCAGGACCCTCCATTACATAGCCATTTGGGATAGCAGGCAGGGTCAAAACTCTCCACGACCCTGGACGTTAGGGATGGCTGGGGGGTCAGAACTCCTCAGATCTCCAGATGGTAGTGGCTGACCGACTGGCCAGGTCAGGGCCATTAGCACTGTGAGGAGGAGTAACACTGTGAGCCCCCGGCAGTCCCACAGGGAGGGTGGATCTCCACCTTGCTTTCCTGTATCCTCATGGCTGCAGTGAACGTCACTACCCTTTTTCACTCAGTCAGAAAGGATGACCAGCATGACCAAACATGAGGTGTTTGCTTTTCATAGGGATGAGTAGGAAACAGGACACCTAGCTAATGGTAAGAACTTTCTTACCTGATGGCATTTCAGCCTCTGCCATGGTTTTCACATCAGGAAACACGTGAGGCCATAGTGTGCTGGGATGTGGCCATATCACATCTTCATATAAACAGTCCCTCAGCTCACTGAGAGCCAGGGCCCAGCCAGGTCGGCTCGAGGAGGGCCCAAAGAAACAGAGAGCCCAGCAGGTGAGGGCCTCCCTGCGTGCCCACACCACGGGCCCTCGTGGATGGTATTTCCTGCAGCACTCAAAGTCCTGCTCAAGACAGACCTGGCACACTTTTTATGAAGGGCTGTTATCCCGGCTGTTGTCCGCACACTGACCCTTAGAGTGATAATCATTTTCCAATCACCATGTGATTTGCCTTTTTAGAACTTACTATCTGTGTGAACATTTTTATGCTGACATTTTTTCCTTATTAATTTTTAGGGTACGTTTGGTAGAACGGGGTTCTCCACATAGTCTGCCGCTGATGGAGTCTGGAAAGGTAGTAGAATCTGGGACTTGCACTCCCTGTGACATGTTTGTCCTCTCTCTCAAGGACATGCAGCAGGAGGTGTTAGGGCTTCATTTTCCTTGAGCCCAGCCATCTCTGGGCAAGTGCAGTGGGCTGCTGCAGATGCCTCTTCTGCCTCCCTGCCAATACGCGGAAGTATGAGGTTAAGTCTCCGAACACGTGTCAGGCTCTAAGCCAATAGGGAGACTCCAGACACACACAGAGAAGGAATTCCGACTGGGTGGGCATGAGGTAGGCATGAATGGTCAGGATCTGGAGCAAAGGTCCCCTCCCCTCCGTACTTCTAGAACTACAGGGTGTGTTGCCAGATTGTAGTACTGTGCACCTGTAATCCCAGCTACTCAGGAGGCTGACATGGGAGGATTGCTTGAGCACAAAAGTTCTGGGCTGCAGAGCACTGTGCTGATTTGGTGTCCTTACTAAGTTTGACATCAGTATGATGACCTCTGGGGAGCAGGGGTTGCCTAATGAGGGCTGAACTGGCCCAGGTCAGAAACAGAGCAGGTCAGAATTCCTGTTCTGCCCAGTAGAATCACAAGTGTACCCCCATCCCTGGACCGGATGGATGGGAACTGTGCCCTGGATGGGAGTGATAGGAAGGAAGAGGCCTTGCCAGGGCTGTGGGCAAGAGAGGATCTGGCATCAGAGCTGGTACTGGCCTGGTGAAAATCCCAGAGGCTGCTGAGGGGTTGAGGGCTATGGGTCTACACGAGGAGCCGAAGTGAAACTGAGTGCTGCCAGGGGTCAGCAGGCACAAGCACAGGACAGAGTGAGCATTCTTGGAACCAGGGAAGGGCAACTAGGCAGCATGAGAAAGGGTGCCAGGCTAGTGGAGTGGCTGGTGACATTACCTCATGTGTCCAGGAGTCCTAGGACCCAGCACAGTAGTCACAACACATGAAGGGCTCAATTTGCACCTGGGAGATGCCTTTCTGCACCTTCACAACTCCAGGGACAGGGAGCAGGGCTTATGGACTCTACTTGCTCAGTACCATGGCCATCACTGCTTTTGCAGAGACAGCCAGTCATATGGGGACCAGCACAGGGATCCCTACCTGGCCATGGGGTAGCTCTGGGCACCACCGTGCAAAGATAGTGGAAGCCACAAGGGCCATGAGGCCAGAGCAGAAGGAATGGGCAAGGGCAGTGTCTTGCAAAGTTCACCCCTAACCCCCTTTAAAGTTGCTCTTAGTGGACTAGCAGGAGTTGAGGCAGATTCTGCAGAGGACGGCCCATCTGTGGGGAGACTGAGGCTGCCAGTCCCTTCTCTAAGCTGGGGTTAATACCACCTTGAGTTTTGCAGTTCTTTCCCTTGTTCTTGCCCGTGGGTACTGGTTGTCCCAGTTCGTGTCCTGCTGAATGTGGCTGCCGTGTAGTCCCACTTGCTTCTCTAGTGGGATTGTCTTGGCTTCTCCTGTTTTGCTTCGGCATGATAGGTCTATGGTTTGGAAGAAGAGCTTTGGTTTCAGGTTCAAATAGGCTACATGGGGAAAGAGTAGGGGCTCCAGCAACGTCCTGGGAGACAGAACTCTCCCCACATGGCAGGGCAAGGAAGGGCCTGCTGCTAGTCACGGGCTCCTCCTTCCAATTAACCTTTCCCCTTTCCTGTCTACTCTGAGACCTGCACTGTCACCATCTTGCTTCATACATGGAGTAACTGAGGACACAGAGCAACTGGCCAAGCCTAAAGAGGGACCACCCAGTCCGGGCATGGGAGGCTGGGCAGGAGCCAGGCATGGGAAACACTACCCAACAGTCAGGTTCCTGGTGAGGGGGAGGCTCTGTGGATCCGACAGACATGGCTTCCTGTGGAGCCGGGGCTGCAGGTGGACCTGGGGATCCTGTGCCTTAATAAAAGTCCCAGGGTAAGCCAGCCCTCACCCAGACCTTCTGCATCTCCTGACAAACAAAGACAGGCCCTTTTCCTCCTTGCAGATCCTCCCTGGGGTGAAGGTCATCATTGCACACACGGAGACCAAAGGGCCTCTTGGAGACTCACACTTGGGCGAGGTAAGTGGCAGCCCAGGCTACACGTGGGCTCTTTGGGAAGCATGAGAGCCCTCAGCCTTGCCAGCTATGCCCTCATTCCCTTTTTGCCCCAAATTCAAGAATTCTAGACCCTTGAAGGTCAGTTATGTCTTTCAGAATCCCAGAAACTTTTTCTGCTTTCGCTGAAGCACTTGTGCCCCAGACCAGCTCTTGTGTAGGATTTCAAGGTGCTTTAGGACAAGCAGCCTCCTCCCTGGGTCACACAACCAAAAAAGTACTGTTACTTCAGGTTGTGAGGGGATGGGGAGGCCAGAGGAGCTGTAAGGAACCAGCAGCAGCATGGGAAACTGCTGCCTTGGGCAAAGAGTGGTTCTTGTGCTGAGTGAGGAGCACAGGCCCAGGGGAAGCTCTGGAGAAGGCCATAGGGCTCAGGGACAGCGCAGGACCTGGTCCTGTGGACATATGACTGTGAGGAAGCAATTATGGCTGTATATATACCTGTGACCAGGCACCTGCCATGCCTATTAGTCACAAGGCAGGGTGTGCCAGCCCGTCAGTCACAGGGAGGGGCAGGTCAAGGCCTGTCACTCATAGGGAGTCACAGAATGACACCTGTCACCACAGGGACACCCGGGCCCATCACTGTAGGCACTGTGGCTTTGCTGAGTGCAGACTGTATCAGGAGGCCCCAGCTGGGCATTCTGTGGCAGTGAGACTTGAGTGTGCTCTCCGTTTGTCACCCTCACTCACGGTGTGCACAGAACGGTTGGGTCTCCTTCATGGCTGGTCAGGGGCTTGCAGTGAATAGTGCAGGTTCTGCCCTGCCTGGCTCACCAGACAGGACAACGGTGTGAGCTGTGCCATCTTAAGTGTGCAGATAGCATCCTGGTAGAAGATGTCCCTGTCACAATTCCAGGTGTAGTCCACATGAGGTCCTCACGGTCCCATGCTACTTCCAGGTTTTTTTGTTTTGTTTTTTTGTACCAGAGATCAAATTTGGGTCCTTGTGCTTGCAGGGCAGGTGGCAGCACCACTGAGCTAAATCCCCAGCCCCAGAACCAAGTTTTGAGGGCCAGGACACACCTCCTGGGAGATAAGGCCCGATTCTGGAGGGCTCAGCTGCTCCTTCCCCTCAGATACCGCAGTGAGGTGGTAAAAGTGTGGGGTGCTGGCTGGGTCATGAACACTCCTGGGTGTAGGGAGTCCCGATACCTCAGGGCTGTAGGTGCGTGTGCTCCTCTGGCCTTTCATCTGTGCACATGTGAGTGACCGGCATGAGTGCACAGGTGCCATCACTTATTAGGCCATTGCTCGGTTTCAGCGTGAGTCTGAACAGCTGTGTTCTCCTCCCACAGGGGACCCTCACCCCTGTAACCTGTCCCCGCTGTGGACACTAGAGGGCCACTAGGTCTTTTTTCACTCCCAGTGTTGATTGATGTGAGAAATGTGGGTTTACTTCTGTGCATCTATCCACACGGCATCAGTATTGACACACAGACACTCCCAGGTCAAAAGAAGGAAGTTTATTTGAGTGGTTATGTTTGCTCTCTATGCCTGTAGTTGTATCAGTTCCCAAAATAAGGCACTAAAAATAATCATAACCACTGCCAGTTGATTCATGTTTTACTGAGATTATCCTCGGCCAACAGATGTCTCAGGACAGAATCTGTACTCAGTGGTTTATAGCATGCATGTTCTTGTCCTCTGGGCCCCACTAGATCTGGGTGAGCAGCCCCCACAATGCCACCGGGTACTATACAGTCTATGGGGAGGAGGCCCTTCATGCTGACCACTTCAGTGCCCGGCTGAGCTTCGGAGACACCCAGACTGTTTGGGCCAGGACCGGCTACCTCGGCTTCCTCCGAAGAACGGAGCTCACGGATGCCAGTGGAGGTGAGGGGTCACGGTGGAGTGCCTGCCTTGGCACTGCCAGCTGGGGCTGTGCCGCTGCTTGCTTAGCCAGCTGTCCCAGGGTGAGGGTCCTCCACACCTGCCTGCACCTTCCCTTGTTGCTCTGATCTTACGCGGTTTGGTGAAGGACGTGCTCCAAGAGCAGGTTTCTCTGAGAATTATTTTCCCCTGTGTCTGCCCCTTACTGCCTTGTCCCCTTGGCCTCAGTGCAGTTGCGGTGAGAAGGCTGGAAGGGTCTCCCCAACAGGGCAGGCTTCCAGCTCTTTCCCAGTGTGGCGGTGCTATGCACAGCTCATCAGCCAGGAGTGGCGGCCCCAACCCTGACCCATGCAGAGATGTGCCCAGTGTCAGAGGACCACAGCTCCCACAGCAGCCCTTGCAACGCAGAGAAAGTTCTGAAAGCAGTAGCCCCTGTGGTTGCTCTTGGTTCCAGAGATGAAATGTGTATTTAATGTCACTGTGCCTCTGTTGAGGTGGTTGCTCACAGCACAGGGCAGCCCAGGCTGCCAGCATCTCTACCAACCCTCCCTGCATGGTTTGCATCGTGTCTTCTCTGTACCCCAAGTGCACAGACTGGTGTGCAGGTGCTACCTGTGCCCTCCCCTGAGTGTGAGTACACGTGTTCATAGAGCGACACGACGCGCTGTACATTGTCGGGTCTCTGGACGAGGCGCTGGAGCTGAGAGGCATGCGGTACCACCCCATCGACATTGAGACATCTGTGATCCGGGCTCACAGGAACATCGCAGAGTGGTAAGGGTCCAGGCCAAGAACGAGTCCTGCACGGTCTGCCCAGCTCCCTCCCGTCATGAGCACTGCCCTGCCGTGAGGACAGGCTGCCTGCGCGGTCACTGCAGTCCCTGGCACAGCTAGACTGCTGTGTTACACTAGTCCTGTTCCCCAGTGCTGCTAGGGTCGTGTGCCCTTCTTCCTCCGGGCATGTTTATAGGAAACAGCACTAGAGCGTGTGTCATTGCCTTCATTGGTTTTGTCCCTTTTCCTCAGCAGCTTTAAGTGAAGAGACTCTCTCTAAAGGTACAGTCAAAATCTAACAAATGTGTGCCAGTTTTTCCACTCTTTTTTGGCACCCTTTCCCAAACATGGGGGCCCCAGTTCCTGTGCAGGCCTGTGTGACACCTGTCTCCCCCCACAGTGCCGTGTTCACCTGGACCAACCTGCTGGTGGTGGTGGTGGAGCTGGATGGTCTAGAGCAGGATGCACTGGACCTGGTAGCACTGGTGACCAATGTGGTGCTGGAGGAGCACTACCTGGTGGTAGGTGTGGTGGTCATTGTGGATCCAGGCGTGATCCCCATTAACTCCCGGGGTGAGAAGCAGCGCATGCACCTAAGGGACGGCTTCCTGGCCGACCAGCTGGACCCGATCTACGTGGCCTACAACATGTGAGCACCGTGCAGCAGAGCCCAGGAGGAAGCCAAAGAAAGTGTGAGGCGAGGAGATGCTGCCGTGTCCTGGGATAAAGGGGTCCAGTGTCCTCAAAGGTTCCTCCTTCCTGTACTTTTATTGATCCTGCTCAACAGTTCGCAATTCCCATTCTAGAAAGCACTTCCTGAATATGCTAAAGAAGTATTTTTTATCTGCTAAGTACATGTACAGAAACATGAAGGCCAGCATGTTTTTTTTTAACAAGCAGGGAATTGATTGTATTTTGTTTTTATTGTGGTCCTGGAGATTGAACACAGAGCCTAGTGCATGCTAGGCAAGCACCTACACTGAGTGACATCCCCAGCCCTGGAAGCCAGCTTTTTAACAGGTGGAGTGACTGGGAAGGCAAGGAAAGACCTGGTGTGATCTCTTCATAAGTCACAGATACCACAATTGTTCTCTGTTTGTCCTTTTTTGGGCTAAAAATGTAGTTCTTGGTTTATAAAATTCAATTATTTATTCCCTCCTTAGACGGCAAGTTCACATGTTGGAATTTATTGTAGAGAGGACTTGGAGGTCTTAAGCATAGCTGCCTCTTCTGTTGCATGGGGCAGAGCCAAGCTCAGCAATGCAGGGAGAAGGAGCCCCACCCTCCCCTGACAGACCCACGCTGTGGCTGAGCAGTGCTTCTCTTTTTGCCAGTTCCATTATTGAGATAGATGTGCCAGTTGTCTACATACGTTGTCACAAATAGTCATAAGTGCTTTTGTACCTCAAGTTAGAGGCTTTGTTTCAAAAAGATAAACCAGCATTTAGTTTTAAATCATTTTCCTGTTTTGAAACTTGAAGCTGTTTAAATTGCTACTTTACATAACATTATAACATTCTTCTCATGGAAGTATATGGAATGACTTTTACCCCAAGTCATCAGATTTGGTGGCGGTCCAGGGTTTCCCCACCACCGGCTGTCCTTGCATCCCATGTAGTTTTGGAGCTGGGGGCACTGTCCTGTGTTGATGGTGGGGATAGTGACACTCCTACTGGCTTTTGCATTTTGAATTGTGTGCCTATAAAATTTGGCAAAGCATTTTCAGTTATTTTATTCAAACTTGACTAAGCTGAGTTATCTAATATTATACAGAACCTAAATCAAAGAAGAGAATGTAAAATCCTCTGGATACTTCTAAGAAATTGAAGTCAAGCACGAATCTAAGACATAGATTATTTTTATATAGTTAATTAAGAGTATGTTATGAAATTGTTGGGTTTTGGGGACATTAGGGGTGGGAAGGTTTATGAATCGTGCATGCTTCCCAGAAACAGCCAGGTTTTTCTGGACTTAGCCTGGATCAGTGCCTAAAGTAGCTGTTGTTAGTTCCAGTGGGTCTGGCCAGCTGGGCCAATGCCTGTCTCACCCTGGCTGGACCACAGATAGCACTGTGTATAGTAGCCCTGTATGCCTATGACGTTAGACTGTGGGGTAGTATTTTGAACGGGCTGGAATTCTAATAATCCTGTTGTAATTATGTACAGAATCTATGTAACATATTGTTTGGCATACAGAGACTTTCTCGGTGGACTAATGGACATTCTTTGCAATACAGTGGCTGAGAAGAGAACAGAACTACCTAATTCCAATCTTCAATCTAACCCAAATCTTCCTGTTGTAGATTTTTTAACAAACAAAAATTGTAAACTTTTTGTATGAAGGATCAGTGAAAATAAGACACTATCTGGTAAATTAAGATTTTTAGGGAGTACATTAAAATGTTTTGAAATGATTCTCTGGGAATTATGTATATCACACTAAAATATTTTATATCATTATGTTAATAAAAGTTATTGATGGTTTGTAATTCTGTATTTTGAAATGTGTGAAAAGGTTTTAAAAATTACTCCAAATAGGATGTATTTTAATTATTTCTTTCAGACTATAAAAGCAGTTATGCTTTTAGCATAAAACCTAGAAAGCACATTGAAGTGTTAAGAAAGTAAAAAATCTATAATCTTATCTCTGACTAATAACAGCATTAGTATTGACATAAATATTCTCAGGGATTTACTTTATCCTTTAAAAATTTTTTTACAAAATTAGGATCATATACTTATTTTATAATCTGCTTTTGTACTCAATAAATTACAAACTTTTAAATCTGTTACATAAACTCTTTATATGTTTTAATGACTCCAACCTATTGGTGTGCTATGACTCTTACCATATACCAGTGTTATTTCAGCAGTGCCTGGTGAGGTCTCTTAGATGTATTTTTTTTTGCCTCCAGATTACAATGACTGCCTTGGGCTCCGTTCTCACAGCGTGTAAATGGGTCAGTCTGTGCCAGGGGTTTTGGGTTCCCACTGTCCTCAAGAAGACTAGAATGGTAGTGTGGGAGAGGCCTCTTTCCAGCAGTGCTGGCAATGGACTTTTATTCAGGATTAAAGTTAGATGCTGAATGTGTTTTCATGTATTGCTCATGACGATTTTTAGTTCTAACTAGATGCATTCTGTTCAAGTTTTGCAGTTCTTGTGCTCAAGCTTTTTAAAACTGACTTGTAGAAGCTATTTTATACTAAGAATATTAAAAAATAGTCCATATTTTTTGTAGTGGGTAATTTTTTTCTTGATTCTATTTTACTTAAGATTTTTTAAAAACTATGTTTAGTTGTACTTACCTTCAGACTGTGAACACAGCAGATGTATTTCAGAAGCAATTCTGCTGCAGTGATCAGTATAGACCTACAAAGCAGCACATGGAGAGGAAAATTTGCATTTGTATCTGCTCAGGGGCTGCCTCAGGCCAGCCTTGGGTCCTCCAGGCAGTGTTCTCCCTCCCAGAGGACCAGAGAGCATTTCAGAACACCACATACATGTTATCTGCTGAGTACAGGAAGAAAAGGAAAGAGCATATCCTTTCATCTGAGGTTATTTTACATAAATTTTCAGTCTTACACGATTAGGGCACTGGTGGCAAACCTATGGCATGCGTGCTACATCAGGCACAAGAGCCTTCTCTGTGGGTACGGAGCCGAATTGCCCCAGCAGCTGAGCATCAGATATTCAGTTTTAATTACAGCGTTGGCACTTTGTGATAAATAAGTGGGTTTTGTGTTGCAGTTTGGGCACTCGGTCTCTGAAAGGTTTGCTATAGCTGGATTAGGGAATTTCCCATTACATTGGATACAGTAAGTATTTCAACATGGTGTAGCATTCATCTTGCAGTAGAATGTTCAATTCAGTAATGGAGAAGTCTTTTAAAGGGCAACTACATGCATATTTTCAAAACTTTTTTACATTTTTACTTATTACTGAGTAACTTGTGTTTAAGTGGAATGATTTTTCAAAGTATCCAAGCAGGTGTCTGGACTTTAATAAATTGTGGAGCTGCAAAGTACAGTAACTGAAATAAAAAACTAATTTGAGGGATTCAGAGGTAGATTTGAGCAGGCAAAAGAAAGAATCAGCAAACATGAAGATGGGACAACAGAAATTATTGAGTATGAGGGACCAAAAGAGAAAAGCAGAAAAGTGAGTAAAGCCAACAGGACCTGTAGAATACCATCAGGCCAAACCAACATATACACATTTGGGGGAAAGTGCAGAGAAAAATACAAGAACATACAAGAAGCTTAAGAAACTTCAAGTAAGAGGAAGACCAGGAGACCGCCCAGATATAATCAAACTTTTGAAAGCCAGTGGAGAATCGTGAAGGCAGTAATTTGTCACCTATAAGATACTGAGATTATCAGCTTTCTCATCAGAAATTGGAGACCAAAAGGCAGTGGGCCAATACACTCAAAGTGTTAAAAAGAAAGAAACAAACAAAAAGCTGTGAACCATGAGTCCTATACCTGGCAAAACTGTCCATTGAAAGTGTAAGAAAAGCATTCAATATAAGTACATGGGCAGTTATTTATAAACTCTGGTATCATTTTAAGTGGTTTGTAACTGCACTTTCTGATTTCTATTTGGTTTAAGAAATTAATACATTTAGAATATTAGCTGAAAGCTAATTCTGTACACGTTTACATAATTTATGAGGTCAAAGCACTTTAAAGAATTTATGTTTGGGGCATACAGTATATGAAAATGTAATGCTGCATCAACAATGGAAAGGGGTGGGACCTAGAGTATTTACAGAGCCAAGTTTTTTAAATGGTCAATATTGAAGTGAAGCTGGTAAAATTCAAGTTAATGTTAGAACTTTGGGAGATTTAATGCAATCCCTATAATATACACAAAAGGAAGTAAGAAAAGCATTTGAAAGTGTTACTACCAAAGATCAACTAGACACAAAAGACAGTAAAGCAGTAAGTATGGGACAAAAAAGTTATAAGGCATATAGAATATAAAGAGTGAGTTAAGAGTAAGTGCCTCCTTAGCAATAATTAAATGTAAGTGGATCGAACTTCTAATCAGAAGACAAAAGTTTACAAAATGAATTTAAAAAATATGATCCATCCAACTGTATGCTGTCTACAAGGGATTTATTTTAGGTTCAAAACACAAATAGTCTGAAAAGGAAAAGATAATACATGAAAATAGTGACCAAAAGAAGCAGGGACGACTATTTTAAAACAGAAAATACTGACCTTAAATAAAAAAAGGTCATAAGACACAGACAATATAAGGAACTGGGATTTAGCTCAGTGGCACCGCGTCTGCTTCCCAAGCGCAAGGTCCTGAGTTAGATCCCCAGTACCGAAAGAAAAAAAACTGGGCAATATAGTAATAAAAAGCTCAATACAAACAAGACTATATAACAATTATGATCAAAGTATGTGAAGTGAAAACTGATAGAATTAAAGGGAAAAACAATTCTATAATAATAATTGGAGACATCAATATTCATCTCACTAATGGATCGAAGAAGTAGACAATGCAAGTCAGGAAATAGAGGATTTAAGCAACTGAATAAATCACCTAGATCTAACCGAATACTCCAATAACAGATTATTCATATTCTTCAGTACACCTGCAACATTTTCCAAAACACCATATGTTAGGCCCCAAACTAAATCTCAATGGATTTAAAAAGATAGGTATTACAAAGTCTCTTCTTGGCTCACAGTAGTGTGGAGTTAGAAATCAATAAGGAAAACATCTGGGTTAGACCAGTCACGGCACCTCTCCCTGGTAAGTGGCCAGACCAGAAATTCCCTGAGAGCCACTGGGCAGCCTGTTTTAGAGGAGAGGCCACACTTCGGGAAAGGGGATCCTGCTGTACTCCTACCAGCTTCCCTGAAGCCCCCTGTGCCCCAGTAGTCTCTCATCTGGCCTTGGGCAGCATCTGCAGATGGGGTGAAGCCTGGAAATCTTACTTCTGGGACCTTTGTTCCTGGTCCTGACCCGGCAAGCGTTTTGTTTTTCCTTCATGTTTAATTACTATGGGGAATTGCTACAGTAATCTTTTTACATAATGCAAGTACAAGCAAAAAAATGAGTTGGTTAAAAAACAAAAACAAGAAAAGGAGTGGATAGGATTAGTTTGGTTTTTTCCTGGAGTGGCAGTAGTTGTGACTTGCTTTTTATTTATTAGTAACTTTAATTATTTGAACTTACTTGGATATGCAGATGCAAAAGCATCAAGTTCAGCCTCCCACATCCCAACTCGAATTGACCAGGTGGGGAGCAGATGTTCTTTCGGCATAAGCAGGTCAGTGACAACCAACGGACTCAGACGAGAGGCACGGTGGTCCAGAGCAACGCGCCTCACCAACTTTGCCCTTGTGGTCACTCATTTGATCGACAGCAGAGACTGCCACGGAGTTGACATTACCGGCTCCACAGTTAGAGGGCAGACCCTAAACACTGGCCCTGAGCCTAGCCGTGCTTCTGCACATGTGCTGCAGGACCACTGGAGTGTCATCTAGAACTCTACTCAATGCAGAGTTTTGGTTCTCACTTCTGTTAAGTGTCAGTAATCGTTGCTTCATGAGACATTTTTCCATTTAGATGGTTAGCATTGAATATTTACTCAGTAATCATGGCTCACTATAGGAAAAGGGATTTAAATATGACTGTGCTCTTTTGGATGGGAGTGACAGTGTGGCCAAGCCATGTTTAGGCTTTATTTGAACAAATGACGAACAAATGTAAGGAAGGGCTGCCTTTTTGAATGATAATGGACAAGGCTTTGTATTTTCAGATTCTCCGGGACTACTTTGGGTAGCCCTTTTTTTTTTGTCTGGGTTGGTATTCCACAAGGACACGGCGGTCTGTACAGCACAAGCTCTATGCTAAAAATTGACTTTCCTAAGTGATTATTGCCAATAGTCTTGGAACCACACAAATGCCTAACACAGCAAAAATAATGACACCGCGATTTAAGCAGCCCTGGGAAAGAAGCTTTCAATTTTTCATCCACAAAGCAAATCAAGCTTCCTAATTAGCTACACATGAAAAGCTTAGCTCTCGCTGCTCTGCCAGCCCTTGTTCTCCGATTCCCTGTATGTCGTCTCTTGTTACAGGAACAGCTTGGCTGCTTTCTCTGTCTCACTCGTGTTCGAAGAACTCGTGGCAGGCAGTGGTCACCATGGCAACAAAAGCCATAAATTCCTGGAAGTCGCATTCTCCATCTCCGTCTTCATCCAGTGTTTCCATGACTTTGTCCACAACCTCCTGCTCTTTGATTTCCTAAGAGAGATGATAGATGAGAGAAGCTGCCCACCTTGCTTTTGAATGGGAATACAGAGTCTTGGAAATGTGGGTAAAAGCTGAATGACTGGTCATTTGCATCAGAAATAGCCCCAACATGGGAAATGAAAATGTCAGAAGAGATTTCTCCTGTGACCTACAGGTCTGTTGGCTATGTAGAAGTCTTATAAGGTTTGTGCCTCTCCCCTTCCTTACTTTAGATCCACTGGGACCTTGATTACTTAAAGACAGATGGAATAACCGAAGTGAAAAATTGTCCTAAAGTAGTTAGCTTCTTATGTTCTTTTTACCATTTGTGTTGCTTTCTAGGTGTTGAGAAGTGTTTTCCTGAAGTTTCTCCTGCCTGAAACCAAAGCCTCACATGTGGTGAGGTTAAGTATTAAACACAGAGTAGGGCTACAGAGGTGGGGAAGAGAATGTAGGCATTGAACCTGAAGAAGCTGTCACAGGATAAGACAGCTGTTCTTCTATGAACTTGAGTGCTTGAGAAAACAGATAGTTTAGAATAACAAATCCCTAGGACAGGAAAGCTTGCCCTGAAAAAGTCAGTACTGTGGCTGCTCAGAATATAAAAGGTTCAGGGTAAAAGGTGGCAATTCCACTGGGGACGGAGTAGGATCTGTAACCATTTACTAAAAAATGGATGGGAACAGTGCATACCTTCCAGTTACATTTTAGGCACTGTGGTTCAGATCAGAAGACCCATGTGCTGGAGGCTGGGTCCCCAGCCAGCGGCTCTTTGGAGGTGGTGGAGCCTTTTAGGGGAGGCCCACTGGAAAGATGCTAGCCTCAGGGAACGTGCCCTTCCTCTCTTCCTGGCCACCAGGACCTAAGCTGCTTTTTGCCACTGTGTGTACTCCAGGATGTTCTGCTTCACCAGTGGCCTCAAGCAAGAAAGCAGTCTAACTGCAAATGTGAGTCGAAGTAAACATTTTTATTTTTTTCAAGTGTTTGTTACAGGAATGGAAAGCTGTCACAGTTGCTTTTCTTCCAAACTAAATTCCCTTGATAAAAGTGGGCCAACAAGTATTTCTGACACCATGATAAGCTCACTGGGAGTTATTTATAAATCATGGTTCCTACATGTTAAGCCTTTTCTGTTTTTGTTTTGTTTTGTTTGTATCAGGGAATCGAACTCGGAACCTTGTGCTTGCAAAGCAGGCGGTGGAACCACTGAGCTAAATCCCTGGCCTTAGCCTCTCCTGTTTTAAAAGTAGTCATTAATAACAGGAAATACTCTTTTTGTAGCTCTGTTTGTTGAATTTTTACTCTATGTTGAGCACTAGACACTGTCTCACTACATCCTTATATAATCTTTTGTACAGGTTAAGAAACTAGAGCTTTTTATGAAGTCAAAGGTAGAACTGGAACTGGACGGCTGGTCACAGAATAAGATAACTGTCACCCTGTGAACTTGAATGCTTGAGAAAAGCAATCCCAGAATTAGATTTGAGGACGTTCCCAGCAAGCCTGCAGGCCTATTGCCTCCAGAGGTGGAGACCATTTATGTAGATGGGACAGAAGAATCCCACCCAGCCCTCGAGACAGTGTGTCTTACCTTGCCCCTGGAGCCCAGGGCCTGTTGTCCTGCAGGAGTCAGCTCAGGAGCTGACAGGCACCTGCCCTAATGTTGTCTTCCACATTGGCACACAGTCACCAGTGTGCTTACTCATTGTCTGGCCATTTCTTCTGTGTGGGATTGATCACTTTAGCGACCCAAAAGGAAGGAAGCCCTTTGCACATCTGACTCAGGGTGTGCTTAGAGCCAGCCTGTGTTCCAAGTACTGAGGGACTATCAGGTTGCAGGTGGATTACAGCTCACTTCCACAGGGCATGAGGCTGGTGGACAGTGGGTGGCTGGCCCAGAGTCAGTGGGGAAGTGGGTCCTTGGTACAGGTGTCAGGAAGTGCTTCCCCATGGGCTGAATGGGACCTAAGGAGAAGGATGGGGCTCATCAGGAGCCCTCATGCAGTTCTCAGAATAGGGACAGTCCATTGTCAACATCCTGCATCCCATGGAGTCCCCTGCAAGGACCCAGGGCTTCCAAAGGATGTGTACAGACTTCCATCATGCCGTCTGTCAAGTGGCCATCCATCACTGATGGATCAGGGTGGGTGCTCTGAGAGCACAAGACTGTCTTTTGGGCCTGCGTCTCTCAGTGCTAAGTTCCTGAGTTCTCAGTAAATGTGTATGGAGTGAATATCTGCACTTTCACCTCTGTGGTGAATACTAAATGCATGGACACAGCCAAAATATATCCTTTTCCTAAAAGCTTGTTTTTAACAGCTCTCTTATATGTTTGGTTTGGCTCCTGGTAAAACAAGTGTTCTTTTGTCCTATTCTGCTGTCACTGTCACCTGTAAATCCTTTGATTTTTCCGGGACAGATGACAGGGACGTGGAAACACAGGGACCCTCCAACTAGCCTCCATACTGAGGGAACTGTTAATCAGACCAGCTTCCAGAAGCAAACCAGGAATCCCGAAACAGAACCAGAGTTACCTTCAGAGGAGCTCAGAAGAGAAGTGTAAGGTACTTTAGTAAATAGAGAAGAAAATTAGCAAGCTTGATTTTAAAAAGCAAAACTCACCTCTAGGAAGTGGGAGAGCTCATTGTTGATGAGTTCCTTAAGTTCAGACTTCTTCAGCTTGTGCTTGTCACCTTCTCTCCCAGAGTACTGATGGAAAACGTCAATGAGGGCCACCACAGCCTTCTCCAGCTCAGACATCCTAAGGTCCACAGAGAAGAAATGCCTCCTCATGCTCTCTGCCTCATGTGTGCGGGTGTGATTGTGTGTTACTGCACAGACCTCAGCCCAGTCAAGGGTACACTGGCCTGGGCTGGTCTTGTGAGGCACGGCTGGAAGTTTGCACTTTTATCACAAGTCTTTGCTCTACCTCTTTGGCCCTCCCTTCCCTTCTTTTGCCCCTATAGCCTGAGAGATAAAGCTTCCTGGCCTCTGTCTTCTGGTTGGTTCTATAGGAAGCTTCAGCAATAATACCAGGACAGAGCAGCTAGGGATTCAGGAGCAGATACCTGCTTCCTTCCCATGGGCTGCCCTCCAACCTGGCAGGGCTCTAAGATGATGTGACAGAGGGCAGATGACTGGACTTGGAGCAGGAAGGTGAGTAGGAACAAATAAGCATGTAAAAATCAATAACACTCTTCTATCCTATTAATAAAAAATTAGAAAGGCCAGGCGTGGTGGTGCACTCCTGTAGTTCCAGCACTTGGGAGACTGAGACAAGAGGATCACTGCAGATTTGAGGCCAGCCTGGGCTACATAGTGCATTCAAAGCCAGCCTGAACTACATAGTGAGACCCTGTCTCAAAAAAATTATAGACTACAATAGAAAGTATACTATTCATAGAACAATAACATTATCAAAGTTTAGGAAGAAAAATGCAGATTTTCCAAAAGATGTAAGGAACATAAAAGGAAAGGACTTATTTTTCTTTGAGTTTCTTCGAGATATTTTAGCCATTTTAAATAAGGATATTAATTTTTTATAGCTGAGGAATATTACAAAAGTAGCTATAAAATTTATCTGCAAAAATAAGAATTGCCACAATTAAAAAAAGTAACAATGAGAAGTATTTGATCTACGAGAAATAAAAATCTGCTTAGAGGCGATAATGATGAAGCTGGTGTCTCAACATAGGGCAAGCATACAGCAGGACCACCTCCCTGGTTCCTGCTTAGAACAGGAGTGGTGGCTGATTCACCAAGGCTGGCACAGTGTAGATCAGCTGAGCAACTTTCTGTTTCCCGCATTGTGTGTACCTGATGCTGTGCTACAGGATATCTGCTCCATCCTGGGAGGGTGGCATGCTTCACCAAGGATGCTGGTGGCTTGTTTCACAAAAGCAAACTGCTCATGTATAGAAGCTTGCCACTTTAGACCTAGAGTTCTGATTATTAAATAAGAACTTTTTCACTGTCATAATTTTTTAAATTTAAAAAGTAAATATTGGGGGTTTTTTTTGCTTTTTTTTTTTTTTTGGTTACCGGTGATTTGAACTCAGGTCCTTGAGCTTGCTAAGCAGGCCACTGAAACGCTGAGCTAAATCCCTGGCCTAAAAAGTAAATATTGTTGAAAAATATTCCTTTGGGGGTTTTTTTTGTTTTTTTTTTTTTTTTTTGGTACCGGTGATTTGAACTCAGGTCCTTGAGCTTGCTAAGCAGGCCACTGAAACGCTGAGCTAAATCCCTGGCCTAAAAAGTAAATATTGTTGAAAAATATTCCCATGTTGAATTGATCACATCTTAAAATAATTTGTAATAAAATGTTTATAATTTTATTTCTGTTCTCCCAAAGGAAACAGGACTGAAAATTTTTATTGTGCCTTGAGCTTTCTTAGACTTACTATTATTAATGGTTGATGTATTGTGTTTTGCTCTGAAGTCCCTGGAAAATCTAATATATCACATACAAATAGAACAGTTCAGATAGACTAAAATCTTTAACATTTCATACTCTTATTCTTTGCACTCAAGTTTTCTACTATTTTTTGTTAAGAAACAAAACTAAATCTCAAAAAAAGTTTACATCATTCTTATAATTCTTAAAGTCTATGATGATTTTCTATGAATTATGACAATAATATATTTAAGAAGAAAGGACACAAAAAAGAAAAACAAAAGAAGAAGAAAGGGCATAAAACATACGTTCCATAAGCCAGGAAAGTCCATTAAATGTGGTTTCTTCATTATCACACTACTAATTAATTAAAAATAATTTACTGTAAAATTCTCCCCTTTAGCTTAAGAAGCAGTTGGTGGTTTATAGATTATCTTTTAAGGTAAATGCAAGTAAATGTCCATGTTTCTTCTCTCTTCATTCTGTGAATCTTTCTGGGAATCTTTTTATATTGAAAACAAGGAGGTTTGGACTTTAACATCTTAAATCAGCTCCTTGCATATCATGGAAGGGGCTTTCCTGCCTGAGAAATTTGTGACTTAGAAAAAGTAAAACCCTTCATAAACCCCAATTTCTTCCACCTAGCTCATATTTTGTAATTATTTGTAAAGACCTTCTCAATTGTCATGTAATTTCTGCGGATGTGAGGACCTTGGCATTCAAAAAGAAGGAAACTGGAAAACCAGGGCACAGTTACCCAGAACCCTGAAAGAGGTAACTAGAAGAAAGGGCAATGTTGGGACTAACCTGGGATTAGGATCAACCCTCAACCCTGGAGGGAAGCACATCTTTACCCTTTGAAGAGAAGAAGCAGTGTTTGTGAGAAGATGTCAGTAGTCACGTCTGAGCCACGAGACCTGAGGTTTGTCTGATTTATGGGAATAAAATCTGCAGATACATCTCTGGTTGTCTGATTGAGATGCAGTCAAGTGTCAACAAAGCAGCAGTAATATCAACAGTAAAGCCAAGCCAAAAATACACAATACCAGTGGCAGTTTTGCAATGTCACCAGTTGTTCCAAAGGGGCTTTTTAAACTACTACGTAATTCCCTGCTACAATCCCTGAGTCCCCCCTGCCTCCCCCAAAATACATTTTTTTTCCTTGGTGTCCTCAGCCAGGGGTTCTCTCTCACCTCCTCCTGTTCACCTCCTCAGTGGTCACCTCCTCCTGGTCACCTCTCTGGCTGCAGCATCGCGGTGTGGGGAGAGGCAGCCTTTTATTCCTTCTTCCCAGGAGGCTGGCTGGGGGCCCTGGCACGGTCCCACTGCGGCCCAAGGCAGCCAATGGGGGCAGGGGGTGGGAGGTGGCAAGGCAGCCAGATCTGTACACAAGGCTGCATTGACCAGTGTCTCCAGGGACTTGCCGGGCAGCCAGATTGCACATGGCAAGAAAGAGAAAGCAGCAGGAAGTGGGGAGTCAGCTTTTGTGCATTTTAAAAACTTATTACATAAATATTGATGTTCCTCTAAAGCCAAGGTTGGGGGTGGAGAGAGACTGGATTAATTCATTCTAACAGCAAATGTACAGCCAAGAACTGGAAGTGTCCAAGTGCAGGCTGAACATGGGAGATTTGTTGGCCTGTTCCTGGCTTCAGCTGAGAGCCTCTTCAGCTCCTCACCCAGCCACCAGCTTCTGGATTGGTGTGGCACCTGATGTTAGAATAGGAAGTGGTTAGTCCTGGGCCACACAGGACTTCTCCAAAAAGCTGCTGAGCCCCGTATCTGCATGGATGAAAATGGGCAGTCAATTGGTTTCTTGGTGCTTTTAGGGAAATCTCATTTAATCCGATTGAACACATGTGCCACCTCCTGGCTTCTCCCTTTACGCTGACTGAAAGTTCATAGGCTGTCCAAGCTGGGCATGCTTTGGAAATGTCACATCCAAATGCCTTGTGTGTGCTCCTTGCCAGGGCTCTTGGCCAGCAAGCCACAGAAGGGCCAAGTCTGGACATCTTCTGTCCATCTTCAGCAGTGCCTGAACTGAGCCTCCAAACAGGGAGACAGTGCATGGTTCCTCCCATAAGCAGGCATTCCTCTTGACACAGTGCATGGAAACACTGGCCCATACCTCAAACACTCCAGTCCTAGAAGGATATACTAACCAGAACCAGGTTGCTCTGCCAGCTCAGGTCCAGCAAGTCCATGAAGAACCCATGCAAGGATGCCCCTGTACCTGGTGGGTTTGTTGTCACCTTTCAGGACCAGTTCTTGCTTGGCCACCATCCATTCCTGTGCCCTGGGAATGGCACAGGGCCATGAGATCATCTTGGACCCCACTGTGTCCCCATGTCTACATGAGCACACACTGTGGTCCCTACCTCCTCACCTGCTACACTGGTTTTAGTGAAGAGTCGGACACATGCTTGGTAAGTGATTCACAGAACTTGCCTTGGTATAAGGAAGAACCAGGGGGATGAGGGTGCTTGTTGTGGGAGTGGCCGTTCCCCTTTGGTGTACACGTGCATCCTTCAGCCTGCTCCCTGAAGGCTAAGATGTTCTCTGTTCTGGGAACCAAGCAGACTTCCCTTCAGGTACCTCCTCCACAGCTTCCTGGGTAGCCTGGGTGGTGGCAGGCCACAGGAGGGTGGGTAAGACTCAGGCTGGAGAAGATCTACCGTCTGCATGAGAGGGGCTCACACAGGTTATGGTGCTTAGGGACACAGCCTCAAGTAACATGCATTCATCTGACCGCTGAGTGTGAATCTCAGCTCCATCATTTAACAGTGGCTCAACTTTGGAGAAACTACCACACCTTTCTGTTAGCATCCCCCTTACAGCTTGATCTGGTTGGTCTTCCCTGACCTCCACACCTCTAGATCACACTGGCTCTCTGTCACCTCCATTTTGAGTCTCATCTCATCAGACACAATTGCCTGGCCTCATCCTGTGTGCCCCGGACATTTGTTCCACCCCACAGCAGTGGTTCACAGAGGGCTTGTTAGAGTGCTGAGAAACACTACTGCCTGAAACACTTGAAGATCTCCATGCAATGAACATGTGGTTCGCTGCCATTGAAATAGATGGGACTCAGTATAAGGGGCCATATGGTAACGTATCCATCAGGGACAGGTGGACAAATAAGCTCTAGAGAGCAAAGGGCTATGGTTGGAAATCCTTGGTCCACGGAGATCTCTGGCAGTGGTGACTCAATTACAGTATCCCAAGCATGCTGTAAATGGAAAGCTCCTAGAGTACTCTTTATTCCATGCAGGAAAAATGCACTCTGGTAGGCAAAATCCTAATGAGTGGCCGCAGCAGAGAATCATGGTCTCCAATTCTGCAGCTCTCAGTGGGGTCAGACTAGAGTGTGCGGCTTGAAGGGGAATCCGTCTTGAAAAAGACGCCAAACTACTGCCCGGAGGCCACACCACAGTCCTCTCCACACCACTCATGAAGTGACTGCAGCCACTTACTAATGAAAGGGAAGCCACTTGGATCTCAGGGATGATGAGACACTATGTTTGGATGACACTAACTCCTGGGATCCCAAATTAACCCTTCGCTCACTAGTCCATGTAGGAATTTGTGATAGGTCTTAGCTTAACAGAAGGCCTGAGTTCTTGCAATGGACCCAGCTGGTACAAGGATACTCCCTGTAGTTTTTTTTTCCTCCCAGTTTCTGAGGGTGTAACTGAAACATACTAGGCCATTGGCCAAATCCTCTCATTGATTCTCTTACCTATGGGGTGATAAAAAGAAACAAACAAACAAAAAAACCTCCATGAAAGCCTCTGGAATGTAAACAGTGCTACATCCCTGGGAGAACTTCAGATCTGAGTGCAGCACCGAAGGGTTGAAATGACTGGGGTTGTAAGACTATCACAGAGCAATTTAGCGGGCCTCTTTGGCCTGTGCTGAAGGCCCATGGATTGTGCAAATGTGAGCTACTCCTGATAAAGCCAGGTGGAGACTTCAACTGTAGCTGCCATGCCAGATGAGTATCCCTTCTGCAGAAAATCAGCACAGCTTACTTGTGTTCTCCAGCTATTCATCTGACTAGTGCCTTTCCTCCAAATCAATGTACAAGTTCCACCAGAAGCAATTTGCTTTTATTTAGCTGGGTAAGTGGTGTGCCCTCATGTTATTCAGGGAAAGATTGGTTCTGCTCCATGCAGTAACATTATCTGCCGAGATCTTGATCTTCTTAGCAGTTCCCTAAGCTGTCAGTGGTCTGCCATATTGATGATAAATACTCTGGTTAGATCTGACATAGAAAACACTTTCAATGCCTTAATGAGATGTATGCAACTAGAGGGTGGGAGATAAGCCCCACAGAAATTGGAGCCTTCCACCTGGGAGAGGCCTCAGGGGATAAAAGATACAACCCCTCACTTGAAATACAAGTGATTGTATCACCTACCATGAAAAAGAAGCATGACATTTAGTTGAGCTTTGGGGATTTCAGATACAAGTGCTGTCTTGACATGTACCACCTCAGGACAGGAGGCTGGCAGTTTTGAGTGAGGGCAGAGAAAGATGAAGCAGCAGTGCACATTACTGTACGGCTTCTGGGTGCATTGTGCATTGACCATGGGATAAGGAAGACAATACAGCCCAGTGCTGTCTGGCCATGGAGTTGAAAATATGGGTTCCAGGACATGCTGTCAAGTGGACATGGGGTAGGAGATGGACCTCAGGAAGATATGAAGGTGCAGCAGACTATGGGTGTCAGTGACCCAGACTCCTTTGCCATCAGCTTCTGCCTCCTTTCTTGTAGTCCTCTTCTGAGGTGTAGGTGGGAGAAAAATTCTGGAAGGAAACTGCCTGAGTCTGGCTTATATCTGAGATGTGGTCAGAAGCATGGGTCTGTGGAGTCCTTTGTGGGACTCTGCACCTTCAGTAGCTAATGGTATGGTTGGCAGTGTTTTGATCTCTAGCATTTTTTTTCCATAGGGGTCTATTTAAAAATTTATTAACTATTAGAGAAGTTACAAACATCTAGTATAACTACAATTGTAGAGTTTAAATAATGCAATACTTCATTAGCTTTTACAATTAGAGATCAAAAGTTGTTATTTTTTTTTTTCTCACCCAGGCCAAGGAAAGACAACTTCAGTTTAGAATAACCACTTACTTAAATCAACTAAGACCCTAAAAAAGAGTATTTTCTTCTGTTAAGTTTAAGAAAGCACGGAGAGTAAGATGGGTATTTATCACAGGTTAAGTGGCAAGGGAGAAAAGATGCAACAACATTTTATTTTTAGGTGCTGTTTCTCAAAAATTTCAGAAGGAAGGAATCTAATGAATAAAGAAAGTAGAATGTGCTGTTTCATCTTGTCTTGGAGTCTGAAGGGACCTTTAAGACTAACTATCTAGTTCAATTTCTTCATTTCTTCTTTTCTTTTGAGGTGGATGTTATGTTGTTCAGGCTGGCCTAGACTGCGGAGTTCAACTTGAAAAAGCTCTCCAGCCCCCTCACAGTTATTGGATGTAATTACCGGGGTATGAATATGCACAAACCCACTGTCCCTAAGGAAGGAATGAATAGCAGCTGTGGCTTCACTGAGACTCCTCAATATAGATCCCAGAACATTTGTCCTATACCTAAGGTGAGGGTACTGTCTCAGGTGCTCCAGAGGATGCCTCTCTTTATATTTGACAGGGAATGCCTTGACATCACAATTCTCAAAAACTTCAATTTTTTCTGCCTTCAGTTATACATTTTGCCTTTTGGATGGACTTTTTACCAGCTGCCCTTGGACTACCACAGAACTTCCAAAAATTAATTCTTTGCTATCAAAGCTTGAATCTGCAACAACTTGAAGGCTTTCCAAAGATGACCCATCATTTACATGTAGGAACAAGACTTCCTTCTGGGACCAGACTGAATGAATCCATCTCACACTAATGTTGCTTACATCATCACACAACAAGGAGGCTGAGACTCTAGCATTTCTTTTATATTCTCAGAATTTCTATCTCTGCTTATGCTGCTTATCTGTTTTTGTATGCCATCTACTCTTTCTGTTAATATAGTTATAACTTTAACAAATTCTTAGTCTGGTAATTCCAACATGCATGTCTTACCTGACTCTCCCTTGGATGCTCATTTAGGTTCTCCAAACTACTATTTGCTTTTTAGTATGCCTTCCAATTGTTGAAAGCTAAAGATGATGTATGGGTAAAAGGAACTTCTGAAAATAGACCTTTAGTTATAGTAGCATCCTGTTGCTATAGCAGAATACTAGAGGCAGTCTACTTTATAAAGAAAAGAGTTTTACTTGGCTCACAGGTTC